TCATTCCGAGTTAGGATGAAGGAGTTATGACCATTTTCGTAAAACCTGTCCGGGTAAAATTTCAATTTCCAGTAAGCTTAGTTACTGTAGCGGGCTGGACGTTTTTCTTTTATAAAAAAGAGGATTGTCCCATACTTAGTTATATTTCTTTCTAGCTTCAAAACACTCAAAAACACTCTCTAATCCCTCTCCAAAATTCCACCAAGTTCTTCAACCAAATTCAAACATCTCAAGTTTTAATTCCGGATTCAAGACTCAATCTCAAGCATCAATTCTCCATTCCAATCTTCATCAAGGATTCTCCAAAGTTGAGGTATGTGGGTTGATTGTGGAAACCTTCCTTTCCACAAGTCCAACCATTTATCCTCTATTTTACTTCAAGTTTATGGGTCCTTATGATCATTTATGAACTCTTGAATTATGGAATTATTACTACACATTCTATTATGGTCTATTTTTGCATACTATCATGAAATGGAATTATTATGTGATGTTTATGGTTTTCATGCTTCCATGATCAAATTATGAAGGTTGATATATATATGTATGTTGTTGGTGGGCTGATTTATATGTATTTCGGAATTGGTTGGACTTAATACTCTTGAAAGACATAATTTTATCTACATAAACAATAGCCCACCATGTGTTTGATAAAATGTCATTGATAGAATTCATAGGAAATGGAAGGTCTAATGTACATCCTATGAGTCGGATGATTATATAATTATTGAAATGATGATGAAAGGGATACATGTATATGATTTTCTCTATATAAGTGTTGTGAGTCGACCAAGCCTAGCTCGGGGAGGTTGTAGGCCCGGGTAACCGTATCAAGGGGTTGGTACCTTGGTTGCCTAGTACGGGGGGTAGTAGGCCCGTATAACCGTATCAAGGGGTTGGTACCTTGGTTGCCTAGTACGGGGGGTAGTAGGCCCGTATAACCACATCGAGGGGTTTGTACCCTGGTCCCTAGCTCGGGGGGTGGTAGGCCCGGGTAACCACATTGAGGGGTTTGTACCTCTTTCGCCTCTCCAAGGGGGTGGTAGGCCTTGGAAAATACTATATTGATGGTCACTCACCACACATGTACTACGTCCCACTAAATATGATTTTTATGTAAGCATCATTATACATATCATTTCTCTAATATGCTATCTATCGGGTATGATTATGCATTTTTCCTATGATGTCCGTCTATTGTAGCGTTGCATTGCATCCCATATACTTAGTACATTCAAACGTACTAATGCATACTCTATGCCTACATGATGTCACCATGTAGGGACCGGAGCACCGCTTGACCATCCTCCTCCGCGTGGCTAATACGATTTCCTATCAAGGTTATTGGTGAGTCCTCCATTCCGGGGACGTTGCTCATGATCTTTTGCTATGTATAAGACTTTTCTTTTTAGTTATGTTTTGACTATGAGGGTGAGCCCGGTAGTTTGTCTTGGCCCCCGCTAAGTACTCATGTTTAGAGGTGGTGTTGGACAAGTTGTGTATTATGCTTGAGCTTGACTCATCTATGGTACTTATGTATCATTTCTTCTTCTTTTTTCTTGCTCCCTTAGTCCCGATTTCCCCCTTTGATTATACTTATCGCTTATGGTCATTTTAATTGCTTCCGCGACCAAGGATGTGTAATGATATGCTATGAGGCTTGTTTGGGGTTCCTTCGGGTTCCCCATTCGCCGGTCACGTCTAGGCCCTAGGCTTGGGTCGTGACAGTAACACTAGGTTGTAGACTATAGACCATGAAGTTACACGTGAAGGTAGTCACGATCTATGAGACCATCTGTGATCCTAACATAGATCTAATAATTGATTGCGGAAGACCACGAATCGTAAAAGGCATCACAGTCCGTGAACCTGTCCATGTCTATGATTTGGAAACTTGGCATTCATACCTAAGGTTCCCGAGAGGCTAGACGGTCCGTAAAAACTTTAACGAACCATAAACCCTTTTTTTATGCAATTTCTAGTAGCTTCCGATTTTTTGTCCTCAAATTGACGAACTGTGCACCCTTCCATGAACCTTGTTTTTATGCAATTTCTAGTATCTTCCGAACTTTTGTCCTCAAATTGACGGACCGTGAAAGTGCCCGTGAAGATCACCACGGTCCTTGAGACTGTCCGTGGAGTTCAGTCTGCACCTGGTCCTGCATTTTTCCACCTATTCTCTCCTGCACACATCAGCACACAATGACTCTATAAAAAAAATAAGGCAAAAGGGAACATACCTAATACAATTACACCTTGGGTTGCCTCCCACGTAGCGCACAATTTAACGTCGTGGTGCGACGCAGGTTACTTGATTACTCAGACTTCATTAAGTTTGCATTCCTATACAATCTTCACATCTTCAGGAGCATCCAAATATGCCTTGACTCGCTGACCATTAGTTTTGAACCTCTCGCCTTTCTCATTTTCCAGTTCAATAGCACCAGAATGAAAAACATGTGTGACCTTAAAAGGTACAAACCATTTAGATCTCAGCTTTCCTTGGAAAAGACAAAGTATGGAGTTGAAACGTAACACGAAGTCACCAGGAGTGAAGCTTATTTTCTCAATATGTTTGTCGTGATATAGCTTCATCATCTCCTTATACAGTGCTGATCTCTCATATGCTCTCAAACGAAACTCATCCATCTCATTGATCTGATCCAACCTCAAGTTCGGAGTTTCACTCCAACTGAGGTTTAGCTTCTTCAATGCCCAGAGTGCTCTATGCTCAAGCTCAACTGGAAAATGACACGCTTTTCCAAACACCAATTGATATGGAGACATACCAATAGGTGTCTTGAAAGCTGTTTGATATGCCCATAGATCATCATCCAGCTTCCTTGCCCAATCTGTCATGTTGGCATTAACTGTCTTGGCCAAGATTGCTTTAATCTCCCTATTGGAAACCTCCACTTATCCACTAGTCTATGGGTGATAAGGTGTTCCCACCTTGTGTTGTTTTACCCCATACTTGGTCAGAAGCGCACTGAACACCTTGTTGCAAAAGTGAGAACCACCATCACTATAATGGCTCTGGGTGTTCAAAACCTTGAGAAAATGTTCTTTTTCAGGAAACCAGCAACACTCTTTCCATCGTTCTAAGGTAAAGCAACACGTTCAACCCATTTGCATACATAGTCAACCACAACCAGTATGTATTTCCGCCCATATGAACTCACAAAGGGGCTATGAAATCAATACCCCACACATCAAACAAGTCCACCTCCAGAATAGGTGTCATGGGTAACTCATGGCGCCGAAAGATGGCTCCTTGCCGCTGGCACACATCACAACTCCTTATTATGTTCTCTGCATCTTGATGAATTGTGGGCTAGTAGTACCCACACTAAAGTATCTTGTGGGCTGTTCGAGCACCACCATGATGACCACCAACTGGAGATGAGTGACAGACCTCCAAAATGTGCAACATTTTGGCTTTCGGAACACATCGCCTAATTATGTTGTCAGCACACACCATGTACAGATACGGTTCATCCCAAAAGTACTTGCCTATATCATGCAGGAACCTTTTCCTTTGCTGATATGTCAGCCCCTTACGCATCACATCACTACTCAGAAAATTAGCATAGTTAGCAAACCAAGGAATAAGGTCAAAAGTAGCAGCTAATACCTAGTCATCCGAGAATGTATCATCTATCTCAAGCTCAATATCTTCCTTCTTTGCTTCCTCCAACCTAGACAGGTGATCAGCTACCTGGTTCTCACAACCTCTCATGTCCTTCACTTCAAAGTCAAATTCGTAGAGAAGCAGCACCCATCGGATCAGCCTAGGTTTGGCATCTTTATTTGCCATGAGATATCTCAAGGCAGCATGGTCTGTGTGAACTATCACCTTAGTGCCAAGCAGGTAAGCTCTGAACTTTTCAAATGCATACACTACAGCCAATAGTTCCTACTCAGTGACTGTGTAGTTTCAATGTGCCCGATTTAGCGACTTACTAGCATAGTAAATCGGATGGTACATCTTGTTGCCCTTCTGTCCCAACACAACTCCTAACGCAGTCCCGCTAGCATCATACATCACCTCAAATGGCTCCACCCAGTCTAGGCCAATAATCACTAGTGCTGAAAGCAGCTTTTCTTTTAGGCACTCAAAAGCTATGAGACATGCCTCATTAAAGACAAATTTCACCTCCTTCTCCAAAAGCTTACACATAGGGTGTGCAATTTTTGAGAAGTCCTTGATGCAACGCCTATAGAATCCGGCATGTCCTAGTAAGCTTCGAACACCCTTCACATAGATTTGCGGAGGTAACTTTTCAATCACTTCAATCTTGCCTTGTCTACCTTGATCCTTTTCTGTGATACCTTGTGTCCAAGAGTTATGCCTTCATTTACCATGAAAAGGCACTTCTCCCAATTCAGCACCAACTTGGCCTCCTCACATCTCTCTAAAGCCCTGCTAAGATTCAACAAACAATCATCTAAAGTATCACCTACTACAAAGAAGTTGTCCATAAATACCTCTAAAGTGTCTTCCACCATGTCAGAGAAAATGGACATCATACATCTTTGGAATGTTGTTGGTGCGTTACACAGTCTAAATGGCATGCATTTAAACGCAAAGGTGCCATAAGGACATGTGAAGGTGGTCTTTTCCTGATATTCAGGAGCAATTGATATCTGGTTGTAGCTAGAGTATCCATCTAAGAAAAAATACCACCCTTTACCTACCAACCTATCAAGCATCTGGTCCATGTAAGGCATGGGGAAGTGGTCCCTCAAAGTCCACATGTTCAGCTTCCTGTGGTCCATACAGACTCGCCATCCAGTGACTGGTCACTGTGGGACTAACTCGTTCTTGGCATTTGCCACCATAGTCATACCACCCTTTTTGGCACACATTGCACTGGACTAACCCAGTGACTATCAGAAATGGGATAGACCACCCCAGCATCTAATCAATGGATTATCTCTTTCTTAACCACCTCTTGCATAGGTGGGTTTAGCCTCCACTGGTGTTCAATGCTTAGGCTTCAGTCCTCCTCAAGTTGAATCTTGTGAGTGGATATACCAGGAGGTATTCCAATTATATCAGCAATGGTCCACCCAATTGCCCATTTGTATCTTCTCAACACCTTGATAATCTCCTGCACCTTCTCTTCAATTAAATTTGCAGCCAAGATCACAATTAAAGTGTTATTAGTACCCAAAAATACATACCTGAAGTGACTGGGTAACTGTTTCAGTTCCAGCACCGGTAGCTCCTCGATGGATGGTTTTGCTGGAGAGCTTGGCCTGTTTTTCAAGTCCAACTCCAATTTCTTTGGAACATACGAGTGTGCTCCCATACCCTGCAAAGCATTCATGGTCTCTTTATAGTCAGACCGGAAATCAACATCAAAGTTCAACCATCCTCTCATCTATGGGTACCCTCATGTCCTCATCAACAACCACCTCTATTGGAAAAACCACATTGATATCATTGGGTTGCTTCATTGACCTGCAAATATTGAACTTTACCTTATCCTTGTTGAGTTTGAACTTCAACTTTCCTCTTTCAACATCCACAAAAGCTCTTCCTGCGGCCAAAAAGGGTCTTCCCAAAATAATGGGGACTTCAAAGTCCACTTCGCAATCCAAGATCACGAAGTCAGCCGAAAAAATGAAGGTGTCCACTTTCATAAGTACATCACATAGGATTCCCACAGGCTGCTTAACTAATCTATTAGCCATTATCAACCTCATTGTTGTGGGTCTTGGAACTCCCAATCCCAGTTTCTTGTAGATGGCTAGTGGCATCAAGCTAATGTTGGCTCCGAGATCACACAATGCTTTTGCAAAGCTGATTGACCCGATGGTGCATGGAATAGTGAATGCACCTGGGCCTTCTTTTTTCTGAACCAAAGATATGGTAGCAATGGCACTGCAATGGTGAACATCATTAGTAAAATCAAGACTTACAACTCTTTTCTCTGTAACTAAGTCCTTCATAAACTTGACATATTCTGGCATCTGCCCCAGAGCTTCCACTAGTGGAATGTTTACTTAAAGCTGCTTCAACATGGTAATGAATTATTTAAAAGTCCCATCTTCAGCTTTCTTTCTAAGCCTTTGAGGGAAAGGAGGAGGTGGTCTGGGAATCTGCTTTAAAGGCAGGTTTTCCTTGACCTCTTTCTTTTTTCCTCTCGCGGGTTGTGATTTATGTTGAACCTCATCTGAGTCATATACTTGTGCAGTTTCATCCTCATCTCTGCCAGCTTGCTCCAAGACCTGTTGATGTTTGGTACCTGCAGACATAGGGTTAGTAAGAACTTTACCACTCCTATTGGCGATGGCCATGCAGTGCCCGTCCTTCTTGGGATTCTAAATGGTGTCACTTGGTAGTGATCCATTCTTCCTCTGATTCAGTGAGGCTGAGAGTTGCCCCAACTGCTACTCAATTTGTTTAATGGAGGTGGTATGAGAGTCCACCAACTGACTCATGCTTGAGAAATCACCTCTCATTTCTTTTACCCTTACATCGGTTGATTCAACCTTCTATAGTACGTTAGCCATCATATCTTCCAGCATAGATCCGCTGGAACTACCACCTACTCGGTCTCTATTGCCTGGGGGCACATAAACACCACTGCGATCATTTCTATACCCATCTTTGTTTCGCCAATTTCTTTGATCTATATTTGATGGCCTATCATACTTACCATCCCTAGCATAGTTTTGACCTGCGTTTCTAGAATTGTAACCCTAATTTCCAGAGTTATAATTCTGGAAACCCCCTTGGTTCCCAACTAGTTAGCTTCCTCATCAAGGTCAAGATACTGATCCTCATACCTATTTTTTGTCCCACAGCATTCACCTTTTCAGACTTCACGACAATGTGGTTTGTGAGCAAATCTATTTGAGTCCTCATATGTGCCATGTCTTGGTCCCTTTCTTCTTCTCTCTTCCTTTGTTCAATTGAAAGCTCAAATGTATACCCAAGCTCTCCTACATGTACATCTCTAGTGTACCATGCTCTGTTATTCTTAGAGACCTCATCCAATAGTTGCATGCTCTCCGCAAATGACTTCCTCATAAATGAGCCTCCACAAACTGCATCATCCACTGATTGCTTTTTGGTTGACCCCATGAATCTCTTGTGACTTACAGATTGCCACAAAATTCATCAAGTGCTGATTTGCATCATCACCAGTTGCACCTCTAAACATACCTTTTAGGTTCAACAATTGGATCATGGTGCTGGTGATTCTAAACTTAACACCTGGGGGTAGTGCAGGTAACACTGTGGCTCTAGTGGCTCCAGCTCTATCCAAGTCAGTATCATCTTCTTTATACATCATAGGAGATGGATGCTGAGCTCTACCCCTCAGGGCTATTTGTTGGCGCTAGGGATGGACTACTCCTTCCACCCCTCTGTTCTTATCTACTACCCTAGGTTGATTGATTCCAGCATTTTGTTGGACACCTGGCCTAGGTTGATTGATTCCTGCATCTTGATGTACATTCCTTGCAGCATCAATCTCAGCTTCTAGTCCCAGTCTGTGTCTCTGAGCCTCTAGTTCTTGTGCATTAACCATCTTTCGAAGAGTTCTCTGAACTTCAGGGCCGTAAGGAAGCAATGGTGCTCCTTTGCTTCTAGTGTTGGCCATGCACAATCTGACTCTCCTGAAAAAGTCATAAACACCTAAGAAAACGTAAAATTAGTAAATATAACTACAATAGAATAAAAGCTAGTAAAACACTTTCTGAATTGAAATTCCCTGGCAGTGGCGCCAAATTTTGATACGTCCAAACTTACACTTCAAATATGAAGTGTAAACGGTCGATGTCAATACACATAACTCAACTAGAGTTGAGGTTGATCCCACAAAGAATTTCTTTACAGATAATGTTTCACTGTCGCGTTTATTCGAATGTTGTTATTATCTCCTAAACAAATAATAATGGAAAGTAAATTGGCTTTGGTGGAAATGTTATAATTACCAAACTTGCAGTCAAAATCTAGATCCGCGACTAATAGACTATTTCGTTGTAAGGTTGATTCAGTTAATTAAGAGAAACTAGGATTGTGTTCACCATAACATTAGTTCAAGCATTCTTCTGTAATTGAGCATCAGGAAAATCAATGTTTACAAAATCATTGCGAGTTAAATTTATCTTACACTTCTCAGCCAAATCAGATATTTATCACTCATTTTATCTCGATGCTAGAGTGTTACTAACATTGACCCTCGCTTAAAATGATATGCTGTTAAAGATCTTTTCTCTCGAACTCGAGCTTTAACTCCAATAGGATAATTTAGTTCAGCCTTTTTCCTAATTGGTATTTTTCTCCCGAACAAATACAAGATAAAGGCTAATCTAATGTGTGCACTCACTAGATGACAATGATATCGAAAGCTAAAAACTACAGAATGTAAACACAGACTGCCCTTTACTCGTTTTATGGAATCGTCACTAGAACTTCGTCATAGATCCCACAATCCCAGTCGTGGTGTTTAGCTACTCATGCTTTCACGTAAACAATCAGAAATTAGGGATGAAAACACATTGAGAAAGACTTATGAAAGTATTTATCAAATCAACAATCACTTTGATAATCTGATATTCTGAATCCGAATTTCCAACTGATAGCAATAATCAAAAATCCAAAAATCAAAATCTAAGAGTCACACTCTGTTCTTTGTCGTCAAACGTAAAATAATGAATAATGATGTTTACCACGACCTAAAGTAATTCCAAATATATTGTTTAAAATAAGTCATAATTGAATTAGGACTGAGTTGTCGGGCCTTTTCCCGACCACTACCACGACCCGTTAAGGGCTTCACGGTCCGTGAAACTCTCTGTGGTCTTGCCTTGGAGCTTCCCAAAAGTGGGTCTTCAAAATTGGTCACTGGAAAATGCACCACGAGAGCTAACACAGCTCGTAGTGTGGACCACGGCCCGTTAAGTCAACCGTGGTCTTCACTTGGGTTTCAACCTTCTTTCAACTCTTTCTTGCTTTAACACTGGTCCAGCTTCACGGCAGGTACCACGGTTCATGGTGAGGACTACGGCCCGTAGAACCCTCTGTGGTCTTCACTTGGTTATTCCTTCTCTTCATCTTCTCAAGGACCAACACTGCCACACTTTCATGAACTCAACCACGGACCGCAATGAAGTTAACGGTCCGTGAAGTTGGCCGTGAACTTCACTTGGTCAACATCAGTTCTGCTTCTTTTTCTACTTTCTATACAATCCAGATTCTGCCTACACATTTAACAAACCCATCAAATAATCCAAAATTTCACTTAATTCTAGTATTAGTTCATAGTTATTAAGCATCAAATGTTCCACGATTTCGTGGCACATCAGAAAGTCAGGATTCAGAGTTAGGTCCTTCTTCGAAATTCAGGTCCTACATCAGATGTCAGGTCAGTGTCGGGTCCTAAATTTCAAGTTGGGCCTTAGTTCACATGCAAGGCATCTAGTTAGAGTATCAAGGTTAAATCCCAAATCCGGTGTCGGGGTAAGGTCCCAATTTAGAAGTCATGTCTCTATCAAGAGTAGAGTTTGGATCTTTAATAATTCAATAGGTTCGAGTGTCACGATTAGATCTCACTTCAAAAGTTAGGATTTTCATCGGGTTCCAAGGTAAGGGTTGGGTCATGGTTCAGAAGTCTAGTCCCATTTCAAATGTTTGGTCTCGAGTTATATGTCACGGTTGGATCCAAGGTCGGGTGTTAGGGTAGGGTCATGATTCAGAAGTCAGGTCCTAATTCAAGAGTTGGGTTGATGGGTTTGGGTCGACTAATCGTAAATTTGGGTGTTGGGGTGATGGGAGGCGTCGCGCCTCTAAGGCTCCTGGATAGGCGCTCTGAAGTTCAACGCAGGTGTGGCGCGCTAGTCAATGTGTCTGGCTTCAGTAGAGATCTGGGTTGGGGCACGATGGAGGGGTGACGTGCCAGCATAGCACCTCAAGAACTTCTCTAAATTATCATGCCAAGAGCGGCGCGCCAACTAGTGCGCCTGGCTTCAGATATTTTTTATTTCTTTCTTTTTTTTCTTTTTTCACTATTACAAACTAAGTTACAAATAATAAAAAATCCTATCTAGCTAAAACTATAAATAAGAATACTTCCTAGATTCTAAGAATTGAAACTATGCTAAAACAAAAAAAAAATCAAAATTCAAAAACGAACTACCTATCTATTACATATTGTTCACAAGTTGCCTTCCGTGTAGCGCTTGATTTAATGTCGCGGCATGATGTAGCTTGGAGCATTCATCATTTAGCTCAAAAGCCTCCAGATCACGATGTGAATCTACACCAAAGTAGTGTTTTACCCTTTGCCCATTTACCAAGAATGTAAGGTCAGTCTCACCTCTAAGTTCAACAGCCCCATGTTGTGTCATTCTTACCACTTTGAAAGAACCAGTCCATTTAGACCTTAGTTTTCCGAGTAATAACCTTAATCTAGAGTTAAAGAGTAGTACCTTTTCTCCCAGAGTGAAAGTACGAGTAACTATGTGCTTGTCATGCCACCTTTTCATCCTTTCTTTGTAAAGCTTGGCATTCTCATATGTGTGGAGCCTAAAATCCTCAAGTTCATGCAATTGATTCATTCTCTTTCTACCGGCCAGCTCAGAGTCCAAATTCAATCTCTTAATTGTCCAATAAGCTTGGTGTTCTAATTCCACCGGAAGATGACATGCTTTACCAAATACTATGTGATAGGGAGAAGACAGTATGGGTGTCTTATAAACAATCATATATGCCCAGAATGCTTCGTCTAACTTCTCAGACCAATCCTTCCTCTGCGCATTCACCATTCTTTGCAAAATTTACTTTACCTCTCTATTTAAAACTTCCATTTGGCCACTCGTTGGAGGATGGTAAGTTGTAGCAACCTTATGACGAATACCATACTTAGTAAGAAGATTATTCACTAGACGGTTAATGAAATGCTTACCTCTATCATTTATGATTTCCCTTGGAGTGCCAAAGCGAGTGAAGATGTGCTTCTTGA